CATAGTGGAAGTTTTATTGTATCATGAATTACTGTAATTTTTTCTCAAATCAGAAAATATAAACAAGTACAATTTTTAGAAAATTGATTAATACTAAATAATGTTTTATAAAAGAGCTTGAGCGTGTACTTCTTTAGAAATTAGAGTAGAAATAGCTATGAACTCATTATATATCAATTTTCTAAACCTTCAATTATAACTGAATTGAATAGATATATTAAAGGCATTTGAGATAAATACTACCAGTACTGCTCAAAATTGATTATAATCATTATCTCATTAGTTTAATAACAGACAGATTAGTATTTGAATGTTAAATATGACTGTCAAATCAGAATATTAAGATATTTTATCAATAATCAAATTGCTTCTTTTACTAAATATTTTTCTTTTAGTTTTTATTAATGCAAAAATGGTTCTTCTTTTTTCCTATTCAGATGATACAAGATTCATAAAGTATAATTTTATTTGAGAAAAAAAGAATTTATGGCTAAAGAGAAGTGCTCTTACCTTATATCTTACTATGTATTCTAATTTTCAAAAGACTTTTAATCTATAAAATTAGAATGTTTCTTATTTAGTTATGATCAAATTCTTTCTGCCAGATGAAATTTTGATTTGAAACTAAGAGTCTGTTAAGTGAATATTTGTCTAAATAGGTGAGTAGAGGAAATGTTTTAAAATCAGTTTTGGACATACGAATTGTTAACAATTATTTAAAAATACTATAAATATATTATAAAAGTTATTACAATTTTAATTTATCTATGGTATTCAGTACTAATTATATGCTTATATTAAATATTTAAATGTTAGAAGTTAAAATTTTTTTATTTTATTTATATTATTTATTATTTAATATAATTAATTATAGAGTATTTTGATTGTATTTAAATGTATCTAAATCAAAATCAATTTACAAATATTACAACTTATTTAAAAAATATTAGATTTTAGTTTTTTAAACTTTTAAGCAATCTCTCTGGTTTGTTTACGAGTTTAAGAAATTATATAGGTCTAGTAAATTCTTAAGTCTAATATTTATCATTACTAAATGCAACTCTTATATTAGTAAAATTTGGATTAAGAATATTTTGTCGATATCTGAGGGATTAATAATGATAGATCTTCTAATAATATTTGAAAAAGAAACTTTTTTAATAACTTTATATTATAATCAGTAATTTTTATTTATATGATCAAAAATCTTTTATCAATAAAATTTCAAAAAACTAAATTTCATTTTACAAAACAATTTCTCATTATTAAAAAAAATCTATTCGCTTTTTCTAGTATTACTTATAACATATTTAAGAATAAGAACCATTATTGGATTAAATGTAATATGCAGATAATTTTAAAAAAAAAATATTTTTGCAAAATATTTTTAGATAGTAAACACTTTATTCTTTACATAATTTTCAATGTAATGTTTTATTTGCAAAAAAAGCTTTTATTAGTCTAAAATTAGTCTTACTAAGACTGATCCATTCCTTAAATATATTATATTAAAGTTTTAGTTTACTAATTCCTTTTAAGTATAATTTTTAATAAAATATAAGCTAGGGATAGTAAATTAATAGTTAGCTATAATATAATTTTTATGTATCACTATATAATTTAATTTTATTAGAAAATTTTTTAATTTTCTTTTATTTGATTGGTCGATCTAAATTATTATTTAGTTAATTAATTAACGCTTATTCCAAATCTATTAATTTATTCCAAATTACTATTTAAAATATTATAAATTTGTAATTTAAGCTTTTCTTATATTATAAATTAAACTATCATATATTAAAAATAAATTTAAATTAATAAAATAAAATAAATCGCAGTTATTAAAAAAATTAAAAAAAATAATTTTAATTTACAAGGAATTATTAAAAAAAAAATTTAAAATTTAAATTTTTATAAAGTTATTTTTTTAATTTACTATTTAAAAAAACTATTAATAAAACTGATAGTATTAAAAAAAAAAGTAAACTGAAAAAAAATTAAATCTGAATGTGAAAGTCAAAAAAATCAATAATTAATATAAAATATAAAAATTAATAAAATAATTTAAAAATCTAATCGAAAAGAAAATTAAATTAGAAAATTAATTTATTAAAGAAATATTCAAAATTAACCTGAATATAATCTAACACTAGCTAACCCAAATCTAACCCAATTCTAATCAAATTAAAATTAATATGATGCTGAAAGATTATACTCAACAATTAAGTGAATTGTTTCAATTTTGATTGATCAATAATATTGTAATATTATATAAGTTATACTAATTATATAAGAGAAAAAATTCCTTTTAAATCATGAATTAAAATTTTATTTATTTTAAATTATTGTATACAAAACAAGTATAATTACTCATATAGATCTATTTCTTTTTCAATATTTATAGGTAAATGATGATAAGACTTATACTTAGTAACAGTCCATTCAGCAGATCTACCCACTAATTCTTTGTTATAAGCATCCATATATCTTTAAGATTTATGAGCAAATTTATGAATCTTTGTTATAAAAATATAGTTAAGAACTCTTGGAAGCTATTGAAGTAAGTCTTTATAGTTGTAATTGTATATTTATCTGGTATTTCACTTAGTATAATCCCAGTATCTCTCTATATAATTGCATTTACAATAAAACTTAGAATAAAGTTCAAAGATATGTCTTGCTTTAGTGACTGCCTTCTCTAGCATCAATTATTGTTTATAAAAATTGGGCTGTTATGATATAATTCATTATGTACAGCAGTCTAAAACTTCTGAATTAACATTATTTTTATTAGAACACTGTTCACAAACTAAACGAATCTTTTTTTTAGTCACAGATTACATTCTTCAAGTATTAGTTTGATTTCTTTTGGTTGATCTCTTTATTTTGCTACTAGGTAATCATCTGAAGATATCATTAATTGCTTACACATCTCTTAATATTCATTAATATACCAGTCATTATACATTTTAGGTTGTCCTTCTTTAGGATTTAAGTTTATTCTTGTTATAATTAATACATATTCTGCTATGATATTGTAATTCATCAATTGGTCAAAGTAGAAGATACTAATGCATTTGGGATGCAATATTTCAAATATCAGTATGGCTCTTTATACAAGTTGTTCTATCATATATTCAGATTTTTAGTATCCATCTGACTGTATAGAATGAAGAAGAAATGCTTCCTTATATTTTATGTGTAAGTTCATTTGCAACTGCTCATCAGATAATCATAATAAGCTGTGACATGATAAAGGAAAGCTGAAACTATAATAGAATGTCCCATGTGTTTTAAACACAAAATAGCTTTATCTTTCATAGTTCAAACTCTTTACTGACTATCATAGTAACATTCATCATATGTTACTTGTATCATTTCCCTTTTTCTTTGCTTAAGCTGGAGCTTTATTATAATTTTCATTATATTATCATCAAAATCTTTCATGTATTTCTTATATTTAAACATCCTTTTTAACTATTTAACTCTATACATCACTACATCAGTCTGCTCATGCCCATCATAATAAACACCTTTTTTCCTTTCATTATAACTATATCCTTATAAATGCATGTAGTTTTAGCATGTTTTTTCAGTAATAGGGCCTTGTTCAATATATTTCCTTCAATATATACCTTTGGGAGTTCAGGGGATTGTAATTCAAATTTTTGCTGATGTAACTGTATATAACAATCTTCAGAGATATCTTTATTATTAAGAAAACCCTCCATTTTATATGATTCTCTTAGTGATCAATAGTAAATTTTCCTGTTTGTATGTAATGATCTCCCAATTTCAAATGCATCTTGACATGTAATCACCCTTATTCTATACGATTTCAGCAATCTGTCTACTAGTATTCATCTTACCTTCTTCATATACCGTATTCCTTCAAAAATAAGCAACCTCAAAAATAGTATTATATCTGAAAATAAGCAATATAATGCTTTAAATCAATATAACTTTATAATTGTTATTTAATAATAATTGAAAATATATTTATAATAGATCCTTAAATTTTTTTTATTATATTAAACACAATCACTAGCACTATCATTATCATTATCAATATTACTTACATTATCATCATCACAATAGCCATCAATATTACTATCACTATTTCTATCATCGTCATTAGTATCAATGTCGTCTTTATCAATAATCTCTAAATCAGAATCTGGTTTATTTAAGTCAATTGATAGTTCACATGTCTTAAAGGATCCTATAATGATTTCATCAGAAATTTTTTCCCAGGAATTTTTAACCCATAAACACATATTATTAAACTTAGCACAATGAAGGTTTTCTGTGACTGTTTCTTCTGCACTGCCACAAGTCACCCAAGTATGTTATTCCATATGGAGGTGATTTTTAAATGGTTTGTTTATCGCAATGTTAAGTGATTAGTAAATATTAGTCAACCCACCCGAGATTACTATGAGATCAAAGCCACACTTATAAAATTTTTCTTTTAACTGATTCTTCTAAATGGCCTCTAAAAGAATCGTATACAAGCATTAAGTATTCTGCATCCTTAATTTATCCATTTTCTTTTGCGTAGATAACTACCTGTATTTTTGTTTAATAGAATATGAAGTGCGCTTAACAATCCTTTTCTTATAGGTTGCGGCATTTTTTCTTTTTACAAGCGTATAAATGAATTGGAATGGAGTATTTAATGCAGTTCTGTTTGCATTTTTACGTGACAATAGCTGATCAAACGTGACAAACAGGTGATCAACAGTTACAGGATCGAATTTGGAATTTTTGAAAATGAATTTTATAAGCAATATATATTAATTATTATAAAATATCTGAAATACCCGAAAATAAGCAACCTTATGATAAAAAAAGGTTGCTTATTTTCGGAGGAATATGGTAACAATAATTTTATGAATTAACTTATACTTGTTAGGTGCAAATAATCATATGTAGATATATTTAATTTTGTAAATAAGCATTTTTGATTAACTTCTTTAAGACGTATTTAAAGATTAATCATGGAATTGGAAGATAATGCAGGGCTTTGTACATGCACTAGAAGTGATCACGTCTTAGTATTAATAGATATTGTTGGGCTTTGTAGTTGTGTTACATTATTAATGGATGGTGTCAGGCTTTGTGCTGGAGACATTCATGTTATTGTTCTAATGGAAGATTGGTTTTGTATATTAGTTGATATTTCATTTTCTAATAGCATGTCATCTATATTCTTTTCAAGTTCCTTCTTTTTTTTCTGTTGTCCTCGAAGTTCCAGTATATTGTTTCCTTTTATTGCTCACTTCAAATCGTTCTTCCACCTGTTCCTTCTGTTCCTCCTATTCTTTCCCTTGCATATTGATCGTTGCTTTTTGTATATAGGTAATCATATTCTCCTTCTGGGATACAAAACGACCATGCTCCCTAGGTAAATTACGTGCTTCTCATTTCCTTTTTTTTATAAGGCGGCATTTTAATTAAGAGTGTTATTCAGTAAGTATTAATATATGTATGTATGAAAGTTAGTTTTATTTTATCCGATAAATGCTTATTAATAACTTTTTAGGACAAAACACGGATATATGCTTAGACGCGTAAAAATTTGTTATTGATAAACAATGTGAATGATTAATAAGGCAAGTATATGATTTTATTTACATTATAATCAAATATAATATTATTTTATAAGCTAATTGGTATTAATTTTTTTTTTTTTTTTTATTGAGCCATTGAATCTTAATGATCGCTGAACGATCGTCTATATAAGAATCTAGTGCTGTATGTATATTTTTTTTATACAAACGATCGTTCAGTGACCATTGTTACCTATCAGTACATAAATTATTAGTTTCAAGTGAATAGACTCGAACCATTCAATGTTTTTTGTTGTTTAGTATCATCTTAAAACTAAATATTTTAGAAAAAAATATTTAAAGTTAGGCCGATAGAAAAGATTAGCATTTATATAGATACATGCAAGTTGTAATCCTACGTTGTCGAGTTGACTAATGTTGAAAATTTTTTTATTCTTGACTTTCGGAACTTTCGGAATTAAATAAAGTGTTTTAACATGCTCAAAACTTTGATTTTAACCAATCAAATATAACAAAATATTCACGTGATTTTTTCAATTTCGAAGAAACATATAGATTTTAAATGCCCATAACTTTTTATACAAGGAATTTTTGAAAAAAGTAAACCGATAACTTTATAGAGTATAAGCTGGATTATAAAGTTATCGGTTCAGTTTTTTGAAAATTCTTTTATTCAATGTGTAGATAGATTTTAAAAATGCTCGATTTTTCGATCACGTGTATAACCTTCCGGCACCATATATATTAAAAAATTAAATGATTGTTACTAAACACTTAAAAAGTTGTTTTGACTTCTTTTTATCGATACAATTAAATGGGAGGTTTGCTATTAAAATCGAGTTACGAACATAATTAATCATGATCTGTAATGTGATTTAAATAGCAAACCTCCCAAATGTTTTGCAAAAAAATTTGGTTTAATATTTTATTTATCATAAATGAATATAAAAGTTTAACTGAACTGATTACGCAATTAATCACTTAATGCTAAACGGGGGACGAAGTCCCGCAAACCGCAAACTCTAGTTTATACTATACATATGATATATACATGCTATATACATATAATATATACTATGTATACCTATAGATAAAAAAAGAAAAAAAAAAAGGCAAGAAGATCGAGATTTTACTAGGACAACTGGGACGGGTAGTCTAAAACTCTTTCGTTCGGCTTGCAATTGCCGACAGGTATATTTTTTTCGGTCCTAGCTTACGTCCTAGAAAAAAATTCGTCCTAGTTGGAACTTCGAAAAATATAGGTATCCTGCATATCACACATATGTATATTAATTTTCTTTTACCAGATCATCGAATCTCTGATCAGGCCACATGACGATGGTGGTCAATTTTTGCCGTCAGGCCACATGATGATGGCGGTCAACTTTTTTCGTCAGGTCACACATCAAGGTGGCGTGATTTGCATTTTAGGATACACAAAACTTGCCACATAGGTCTCGGTATGATGTCTGTGGCCAGATTTCATATCACACTATATGCGAGCTTAATGATGTATATATCGTCTATTATAACCACGTATATTTATAATTCTAGCCTCACGCGATCCTAAGAATATATGTTTATTCAATAAAAAAAGGAAATGTATCTAATCATGCCATTCTTGAAGAATTATATAAATATACACACAAACTGCACTCCAAAAACACAAATTTCTTTTAAACTTTAAAAAAATGGAAGCAGTTATTCTACTTTTAATTGGTTCATTATTTTCCTTGGGTATAAAATCATCATCATCATCATCATCGTCGTCGTCGTTGTCGCAATCTAACACCCGATCTGATTATGATAAAAGACAAGCTGAACAGTTAAAACGAAGTACTACATACGGTGGCTATCAGGCCCAACAACGACAAATACAGAAAAATATGGCGAAATACAACAGTTAATAAACATGGTACAGTAAATTCTATTTAACATAGAATAATATGCATTATTATCATCTAATAACTTTATTTTTATAACAAAATTAGTTGAACAATCAACGGATATGTCTTACCAATTTATTGAAATTTAACAGTATCACATTTACAATTACTATTTTATCACATTAAATATTATAATCTTGTATAAATTAGTTATGTAAATAAATAATTATGAATTATATCAATAAAATCAAGACATTTTTGGAAATTTGATCGTAACTTTGTAAATTAGTTAGACCATATTTGTAATTTCGCGTTATATTAATTGAGATATTGTCAGAATTTAACTTGAATTTATTTTCACATTTTACATAACAAAAAAAATATTTTGTATGAAAATTTATTTTTGAATTGCGTGAACAAATTCATATTAATAATGCTTTAGATGAAAGAATAGAGTATAGGTAAAGATGCGTAAATTGGAATAAAAATATAAATAAATTAAAGTAATATGGAAATGTTTCTTTCAATAATCTCTTTTCTTATAAAACCGCGTCAAAATGTATAATAACAGACCATAGTATCCAGGTCCAATACTCTTCGAGAGGGTGGACGTTGTAAACAAAAACAATTATTACTTTCACTTACAACTATTGTAATTTTCTTCAAAGCAAATATACTTCTTTAGAAGTTGCTTCAAGGAACATTGTTCTTATTTGTTATTAAATTCTGAACGAAATAACTTTTCAACGGTATCACTCTCATTTCGATATGATAAAATTGTACCTTTTGTTTTTTTTAAAAAATTATTCTAATAATTATAATATCGTGTTTATCAAATGACAAAAAAAAAAGAAAAGAAAATCATGAATTGAAAAATTGCGATATAGGAGTTTACATACACTACATTATGGGCATTACGCACTGGATATGGAAGATTAGAGCCAGTCAAGTATAAACGAGTTATTAACCGATTAAGGATTATAAGCCTTACTTTAATATCAGCCTAAAAATAATAGTCACATGAACAATAATGAAATCTGAGCAGTCAGAAGGCAATAATAGGTTTATCATCGGGTCCAGCGAAGGCCAAATTTAATCTCTCCACTTTCGGTAACATAGTGTGCTTTATGCTCTATAAATGAAAAAAGTGAGTAATTCATTGAACCGTTGATATTTTTTTTCTACTATATTTGATTTTATCGTTTGGATATATTGTAAACGTTAATATTTTATTTGCAAAATTTATTTATTATGTTACTTATTAACCTATTAAAACCACAAAAAGAAAATTGTAATAATGGTAATAATAAAATAGCCATCTATAAATTATATTAAGTTGAAAATTACTACCGAATCTCCCCAAAAATACAACACTTTATTAGTTTAAGCTAATAATAGTAAGTGAAGAAAATATATATTGTTTATCCTTTTTATTCTGATAAGATTATATGGGGGAAACTGCAAGAAAAATCAAATTTGCTTTAATAAGATGCTTAACCGAGATCTTTTCAGTTGCAAATATTTTAGATGGAAGTTTCGTTTTATTTTAATTGATCAAGATCGCCATTTAATCATTTATCGTTATAAATTATATCGGTCCGGCGGAGCAATTAATAAAAGAAGAAACCGATGAAATGCTATCGATTTAATAATTTCAGGCGACTTATTCTTCCTCAAATAATTTACCACATCTTGTACAGTACTAGGTCGCTGCGGCCATATGGGTTTATTGCTAGGAAAATCAGGTTCCGGGAATTTTCTAACAAAATTGAGATTTGTATTGCAATTTAGTTTTAATGTTATTACAGACCCCGCCAAAAGTCTCCGAACGCCATCTTTCAGGGGCTATTTCATACCGATTACGTCGCGTGACTGCATAATACTTCGGTCATGTGATGTTCGG